ACTGCATCTCATGTGTTATAGGTTTGACAAAACCAAAAATCATAATTCATCAGGACCTGGAAAAGTTCTCAACTATGGCCAAAAGTAACACAAAGAAGCAATATATGTAAATTTTTGTTAAGTAGATCTGTTTGAAAAACATCTAGCAATAGAATTTTTTATTACAAAGGATAAAATGCTTAAGAAGTCAATATCTGAACATTTGATGTCTATAACCCCAATATTTTACTATCTGTGTTGTCTTTTATTTTCTGAATTATTCCAACCCTCCACCAAATTTCAAGTTTAAATAGTTTGATAGGGCTGGTGAGATAGCTCAGTGGCATACACGCCTACCTGGCAAGCACAAAGTCTTGAATTCTCAGTACAAAAAAAAAAAAATTAGTTTGCCAAAAATTATTTTTAGGCAATAATCTGACTCACTTTAATCCTCACCTTTTGAAGCCCTCCCCTGAGATTGAACTCAAGGCTTTGAAAATGCCCCTTATAAATCACTATTTCAATATTCCAATTTTATGTTATCAAGTAAAATGATCTTTATTATAAGATTAGGCTCCATCCTAGTCAAAAAAAAAAAAAAAAGAGCATAATGAATTTTTTACAAGTCCTCCATAAGAAGACAAATATGTTAAAGACTGTTATTTCACATTTTATAAAGTATTTTGTTTTACAACCCATTTTTCCCAACATTTGTCTTCATACCAGCATTACCTTCATGTTACTATATCCTAAAAACAAAAACCAGAATTATTGCTCTAATTCTCTCATAACTCATACCTATTATCATATCAGCACCAGGAAAAGAGTAAAATGACACCTTACTGAAAGTTAATAAGTACCACAAATTTTTTCTGTATACCTAAAAGCAGTACAGTATCTTTTGGGAGTCTATAGGAGGCATACCATATTCATGAATACAGAAAAAGAATATAATAAAAATTCACCACAATTCAGATTTAGTGTAATTTTATGCAAAACCATTAATTGGCCTTTTAAAAAAATTAGCCAAATGAATTTAACGTACATCTGCATTTATACAGTATACAGCATTACAAACATATTACTCTATATGTAGTTCTACAACAAATAAAACATTGCAATACTACTATAAGAAGGTTCTCATACAGTAATTGTTAACCTGTTATATACTGATTTTAGAAGGTAATAAAAGTCAACAGGTGTTCCCTAGAAAAAAATGCACTTCTACACACACCCATAAAATTACCTACATCAGGAGATAGGTGAAATTCATTAAGCTTATAATTATGAACTCCTAGACGTCAATAAATCCTACACTAAATCTTGCTAGTGAGGGAACCCAATAAGTAAATTATGATCAAGACAAGCAACCAAAAAATTAGAGATGGATCAACTGCATAAAATTCTGAGGCAAGTACACACTTAGAAAAAATGAATTCTAACAACCTATCTTCATATACACTAATAAAAATATATATATATACAACCATGTAAATTTTTTAAAAATTTAAAATTCATTAAAATTTCCTGAAAAAAAACTATAGTTCTACAAAAAAACTAATGAAATAAGGGAGTATTTAGTTCATCACATTTTTTTCTGTAGAACAGAAAACAAAAAATACAAATATAAAATATTAGAAAATACTTATTATCAACTTTATGATTCAACAAAAACTTACTGAGCTACTGTATTTTTCAACCACCAAATTGACAGCGGTATGAGAAATCAACTTATAATTTAAAAGCCCTTTAGGGCTCACAAGATAGCTCAATGTACTAAGCACCTGCTCAGGAAAACTCAGGGACCAGGATTCAAATCCCAATACCACATGCCATGCCGGTGCCAGCCTGGCCCACTGGGAGGGTGTTGAGCCAGCAGAGTCCAGGCATGGTGGTTCACGCCTGTAATCCCAGTACTGGGAAGGCTGAAAACAGGAGAATCACCATGAGTACAATCTTCATAGTGAGATCCTGTACCAAATACATAAAAAATAAAATAAAAGCCCTTAAAAAAAAAGTAATTTCAAAGATAGATCATGATCAAGTAGAAGAATGTACTGCCGTGTGGGCCCCACCCCCAGGTTGCACTGAGATGACAACTGAGACTGGGCGTGGTGGCATGCACCTGTAATCCCAGCACTTGGGAAACTGAAAACAGGAGAATCACTACAAATCTGAACTATGTAGTAAGACCCTGTATACCCTGCACTAAATAAAAAAAAAAAAAAAAAAAAAATGTTCACTGTCACATTATTTATAATAGAGAAATAATACATAGTTATTCAAAAACATATTTGAAAAGAATATTTGATAATTTAGGATATTTTCACAGCAAAGTATGAGGTAATCATTGAAAACATTTTAAGAAAATTATAAAATAGGACCATATTATTTGTTTAGCTTTGGTTGATTTGATCCCAGTATTGGGGGGAAAAAAAAAAAACCACGGGCATTATATGCGCAATGAAAAACCATGCAATAAATAAGCATTCAAGGATTAACCAAACATGAAAAAATTCACAAAATCACCTGAATAAGTAGTATTTCCAAATGTGGCTTACTGGGTCAATGAGACAGCTCAGTGGTCTAAAGCTCCTGCTTAGGCAAGTTTAGGCAAGCACAGAGACTGCGGTTCAATCCCTGGCACCACATGCCATGCCAGCCCCACCCCAAGGGCCAAAATAGTCACTTATTAATATTTACCAATTTTCCTAATGTTCTACCATGAAAATGTTTTAAGAAATACTTAAATAGGCATGGTAGTGCACACTGTAATCTCAGCCTTTAGGAGGCTGAGACAGGAGGACTGGTTCTGAGCCTAGCCTAGCCTACAATGTAAGACCTATCTCAAAACAGACATCTATATGTGTGTGTGTGTGTGTGTGTGCGCGCGCGCGTGCGTGTAAACATAGGTACTTAGGCAAATCATAAAGAATACAGTTTTAATGCGTTGACTAAATCTCTCAAACCTAGCTTATTTTGCAAACTAAATTTTATGTATAAATTACACGAACACTTAAAATTTTAACAAATTTCAATAATTTGCTCACTCTGTAGTACGGTAGTCTTAATATTTACATATGCTGCATGCATCAAAATATTGTAGGGTAAGCACAAATGAAAATTTCAAAATATATTTGTTATTGATAAAAACAACTAATTGATGTTCAATCCAGTTATAGTTACATTTACCTTCATGACAGCAAAAGTCACCTATCAATATTTACATTATATATTATACTATTAAAGTGGCACTTAGTGACCTTGAATACTAACCCAAAACACAATCATCTGTATATTCATATGAAAACATAAGCTTAAATATATAAACCGAAGTATTTCCCCCCCTTTGGAAGTGAAAAACATGCCTTCCTCCAAGACAAAAGTTATTTTCTTTGTGTACATAGAGAATCACAAAATATAGCATATTTTCAGCTCTAAACTGAAATACCACGATAACTCTGGGGAAGGAGAGTTTTCCTGAAGTACCTCAGAAGCCTAAAGGGGTCAAAATTGCATAACCACTTTCACTCTGTCTAGAAGACAACAGAAATTATATCAGGCCAAATTAAAAATCTCTTAGATTTTTTAAGAAAAAGAACAATCTTTCCTATCACTACATTCCACCTCATTATCTGATACCATTTAAAAATACACCAACTAAAAGTACTCTTTTCAATTACATGTAGCTAACACTAATGGTATTGGTTTTATGGACAATATACTCAAACAAAGCAAAATTATACAGCAAGTCATTTCATTTGTCAATAGACTTATTCAAACTTTAGTTATATAACCAACCAATTGTTGTACATAAGAACCACAGATAAAGTTTATAAAACCTTTTACAAGTTGTTAGCCTAGAAAGAAACAATTTGCACAATGGAAGAATCAGCAAATGTTACATAACTTCCCCCAGGTGTGTTATGTAAGATTTAAATGTAGTGACATTACTATTTTAAAATAAAATAATTAGTGCCATAATTACCTTAAACTAAAACCAGGAGCATACTTACAATTTTTTTTTTTTTTTAAATCAAACATCTGTATATCACAAACATATGGTACTGGGTCTGTATTTTTAAAAATCAACAGGATTTTTTAAAATTGATACATTATTTGATCCATAAAGGCCTCGGTGTAAATGGAATTATTTATTTAAAAAATACAAAACAAGTATTACAACTTATCATTGCAAAAAATAGACTAATTATGTTTTTGAAATAATTATCTAAACCAATAATGGACAAGTAATCAAAGAAATGTAAAAAATACCATACAAACTGATTAAAATTATAACTAAATTGACTAAAGATCGAATATTTTTAAAAAGATAATACTCAAAAACATTTAGATTTCACTTTAAACTACCTTATGTGTTTTTCCACTATCCCCAATATTTTTAAAACTAAAATTGTTTTCATATTGTAAATATTCCACATATCAAACACTCCACACGACAAAACTGGTAAAAATAGGGTTAAAACTGCATTTGCAAACATGCAACTCAAATAATGCACTTCCCGTGAAAACACCACTAGGTGCTGATCTTTACCTCCCTAAAGATAAACTTGACTTCAGCTAGTTGAAAAGTGAAAGCCTAACAGAGAACTACAAGTGGCAACTGTTACAGAAAATTAAGTCTACAACTTCTCGGGCAATCAGTGAAAGAGTTTAGAAGAAATGTTTTCCTTTGGAAAATGTGAAAATTGGAAAGCAACAAAACGAAACCCCTCAAGTCTGAGGAAAATTAAATCTAGAACCCAAATGGCGTCCAAGAACATTAGATCTTGAAAATGAATATTGCGCTTGCGCAGCCACCGCCCCGCCAGCTGCACAACTGCAGCTAGAGCTCGACCCCGCAAGATCACGTGCTCCCATGCAGCGCCCGCCCGCAGATCCGCAGCCGCGCAGGCGCAGACACAACTCCCGCAGCCGCCATAATGCGGTCTTGACTCTTCAGAAATACAATAGTAATTTCACAAAATGTGGTTAGAATAGCCCTTGGGATTCACATATACCTTTTGGGGCGGGAGAGGACGGAGGGGGAACCAAGTTCCTTCCTACACGCCGTCCTGCGCAGCCGTCCCCAACGCTGCCGCCTCAGCCTAGCGCGCTTCAGTCGCCGTGCCGCCGCTGCCACTGCCGCCGCCTCCGCAGATTCAAAAACAAACCCGCTTCTCCCTTGCACACGCGAGGCCGTTATGCAAATTATGTAGGCGGAGCTCCGTGGGCGTAATATGTGTCACGCCCATTGCTCTTTCTGCCAATAAGCGCGCAGACTGGCCATTCCTCATGCAAATCTCCTAGTCTTTTATTTGAATGAGGCCCTTTGGCCCCGCCCCCTGCCGTAGAAAAGAGAACGCCGTCTGAGGCGGTGGCGCCGCGCAGTGTGGTTGCATTCTGAGGTGTTTGTTGAGTGGAGCTTCCTCAATCAGTGAGTAGCACTTTATGAGCGCCCACGGTGGGGCTTGGGAAAAGAAGGAAATAGGTGAGAGTTGAAGAGGAGAGTTTTTTTAAAAGGCTGAAATATGCTGACTTATTCATCTTTTTAAATTCACAAAGTATACTTGAACTACATTAATAATGACGAAATGAAGGAAACAGCTTAGCCCTGCGCACCCACTGGTGTGCCCATGGGCTTGCTTCGGCAGCACGTGCACAGAGCCATAGCCAACCCCTCCTATTTATGGAGGTGTGAGGTCCCGGAGTTGTAAAGTCCGTGCTACCGCATAATTGGTTAGGAGGCCCGGATGGAAGTCCAAGAAGTGCGTTCACTTCCTGTTTCTTGGAATAACTGAGACACACCCTTTCTTCATCTCTACAGTGGTGTTAATAACTGTAGTTAAGTCACTCGAAAGGGCTGAAGAATACATATAAATGTGTTTTATAAACCCAAACGGAATGAAAAAATGTTAGGTCCTAGGATTTAATCTTTGGTGTAATTTCTGTCAAATTTATTGATTTGTTTAGACACAAGGTCTCACTATACAGTTAAGGCTGGCCTTGAACTCACTATGTAGCCCAGGCTGGTGTTGAACTCACAACGATACTTCTGCCTCAGACTCTCAAGTGCTGAGATTACAGGTTTTCACTTACTTTAAAGAAATCACAGTGAGCCAGGTGAGTTGGTGCACACCTCTAATGCCAGTAGTTGAAGGCTGAGGCAGGAGGATGGTTGTGAGTTCAAGACCAGCCTGGGCTACAAAGTGAGCTCAAGGCTAGCCTGAACTGCATAATGAGAGCCTGTCTCAAATAGACTAAATAAATAAATAGAAATCACAGTGTTCCAAAATTATGTTTGGTGCCTCACCTCAAGTAATATATGATATTAGTACCAGGTGTTCTGGTTTATGCCTGTAATCCCAGCACTTGAGCAGCTAAGGCAGGAGGATCACTGTAATTAATAGGCCAGCCTAGGCTATGGAGAGAATTCAAGACTTATCTGAACTACATGACAAGACCCTATCTCAAAAAATAAAAAGAGCCAAGGAGGCAGCTCAGTGGCATAAGCACCTGCCTGGCAAGCACAGGGTCCTGAGTTCAATTTCAGGTACCAAAACAAAAGAGCTAGGGATGTAGCTCAACACAGAGGTGCTGAATTCAATGACCAGTAAGTAATACACACACACACACACACACACACACACACACAGAATGAAAGGAAAAAAGATTAGAAAAATGAAAAGAAAGCCATGTTGAAGAAGCCCAAATGGAAAGTTACTATACAAGTGTCCTATGGGCTGTAGGGAATCTCTTGAGACCAGAGAACAGATTATCACCTATCACCAGCAAAAGCACAGGGGCCCTCAGTCAATACTAATGAGGAAATAAATTTTGCCAATAAAATAAATGAACTTGAAAGCAGATGCCTTACCTAGCAGGACTTCAGATGAAAATACAGACTGTTAAAAAGCAGGGGGGGGCGGGCAGGGAGATGGCTCAGTGGCATAAGCACTTTTCCCTGGCAAGTGCAAGGGCCTGATTCAATCCCTGGTTCCGCTAAATAAATAAATTAATTAATTAATTAATTAAGTTAAATTTGAAAAAAAAAGCGGGCTGGGGTAGAAAGAAAATGCTACTCATAGATTTATGCTATTACCTCGGGAGTAGGTTTATTATAATAAGAGTAGAGGGGCTGGGGAAATGGCTCAGTAGAATAAGTGCTTGCCTGGCAAGGGCAAGGGCCTGAGTTCAATCCCCTGTTCCACAAAAATAATAATAATAATAATAATAAGAGTAGATTTGTTACCAAAGTGAGTTCAGAACTCATCCCTGTTTTGCTCTTGTCTGACATGGTATAGCCATGTGACACCTTCTACCATGTTCACCAACAAGAACTGTCTCTAGATGCTAGCCCCCTTGATCTTGACTTCCCAACCTCCAGGACTTACATAAAAAATGAATGTCTTCTATTTATTAATTACCCCGTTATGGGTATTCTGTTACAGCAGCGTCTAACAGACTAAGACATCAGCTAACGCCTTGATCACAGCCTTCTGAGACACTGATCCAAGGATCCATCTAAGGCAGCCTCAATCTGTTGACCCCCAAAAGCTATAAAATAATAAAAAAAATGAGGATTAGTCTGTCACTAAACGTGTAGTTGTGTTACTTAGCAATAGAAAACAAATATAGTAAATCACCACAGAAAAGAAAATCCATCATTATCATCTTCTGACATTAATAGGCCACGTTCATCGATGAAATGGCTTCTATCACAAAATATTTAATTAGTGCTAAAAAAGAAAAATCCCACATTGCAATTATACCTGGGAAAGTGGGACCTATGCCCGAGTCCTCTCCATGCTATAAACATAGAAATTTTTTAGATTGCTCCTACATATTGTAAACATAGACAACATCACATATTAACATACTCTAATTTTTTTTTAATAGACACATTTAAAAGAACATATGGGTTCTTCTGTTTATTCAGAATCTCTCAGCCTTACCATAATGGGAATTGAGACCTTAAACATCTGCTCCCCTTATATTCTTCTTCTATATATATTTTTCCCCAGGGAATTCTTCATATTTCCTGCTTTGTGTCCTCAAAACAAAAGGCAACAATCAGAATGCTGTGAAGGTCAGTGGAATGAGACACATAGATCAAAGAATAAAAAGAGTTGAGCAGCAGAATGATTTAGGTAAGAGGGAAGATAGATTTTTGCACAGCAAAATCATTTTACAGTAATATCAAACTTATGTTTTCTTGGCTTATGCATGTTCCAGTTTGCAGTTCTGAAGGTACTCAAAAGTTATTGTGGTATTCCTAGTTTTCATATATGGCTGCTGGAAAAGAAGTTTTATTTTATTTATTTATTTATTTATTTATTTATTTATTTATTTTTGTGGCCAGCTCAGCCCACCCAGGGGTCAGGGCTGGCACAGCATGTGGTGCTGGGGAGCAAACCACGGTTCCTGCAGGCTTGCCTAAGCAGGCACTTTAGACCACGGAGCTGTCTCACTGGCCCCTAGAAAAAACACTTTAAACATTCAATAATTTCTATTCCTCATATTTGTATACCAAGAGGGCTAGTGAGATAGCTCAGCAGACTAAGCGCCTGCTTTGGGAAGCGCAGGGACCAGGGGTTCCATCCCCGTCCTGCATGCTGTGCTGGCCCCACCGCCCAGGGCACGCTGAGCAGGTAAAGGAGTCCAGGCGTGGTGGTGCACACCTCTAATCCCAGTGCTGGGGAGGCTGAAAACAGGAGGATCACTACAAGTCAGAGCTGCATAGTGAGACCCTATACCAAATACATAAAAATAAATAAATAAAAATAAAACATACCATGACTCATCCACATGGCTGACACAAAGGATCTACAAACTACGGTATAGGGTTTCAGGTTAAATCCTGAGGGGATTTGACTGACCTTATCAGATACAAAAGTTACATTTCTTGTTATATAGGTCTTGCTTTATCTTGGTCTTAACCATGCAGCAGAAAAGTATGAAAACGAAATATAAAAAGTAAAGCCACATTAATATGCTGAGCTGTAAAAAGCTCAAGTCAACAACTTTGGATATTGCCAGTCTTATGGAAAACCCACTACTATTATGGACTACCAGACTCTGTTGGGACATTCTGCTGAATTCAAGCACCTACAATATTTAAATGATAATGGAATGCCCTTCTCTGACAAAACTAACCAAAAAAGTGGGATAGAAATGAATGACCCTTTTGCATCTGTATACTCAAAATAAGATAGATTTACAGCTACACTCTCTTAATTCAATGAATAGAGAGGTTTGTTATAATAATGTTTGAGACAGGATATCATGTCTGCATCTTGTACAATGAATAACCACTAAGAACAATATGCAATGTATTAATTACTGTAAATGTGCCAGTAATCAGTTGTGAAACTGTCTCATTGATATTTGTTTCTCAATAAAGTATTTAAAAAAAGAAATAAAAATAAAAGCTGGATATTTGTATATCAAACATGTAAATGTTGATGTAATGTATAATTAGTATTCAAATAGCAACTAAATGACACTGAATTGTAGAATTGTGATTTCATTTTAATGAAAGACTATTAAATGTAACTTTAAATTTAGATTATTGAAATATAGTCATATACTTAATTTTAACTTTATTTATTTATTTAGCGGTACCAGGGATTGAACTCAGGACCTTGCACTTGCCAGGCAGACACTTATTCTACTGAGCTATCTCCCTGGCCCAATTTTAACTATATTTAAATAGCGTCAATTTAAAAGATTAATTCAGCCAAGGATATGGCTTAGCTACACAGCACCTGCCTGGTACAAGTGAGGTCCTGAGTTCAATTCCTGGTATAATAAATAAATAAATATAAAAATAAAAGATTAATTCAATTTTATATTTTCCCACTTAGCTATGTTGAATAATCAACAAAGTTTTTTTTTAAAAAAAACAATAATTTAAATTGTAGCATGTTCATGTAAAATTCCTGATAAAAATATATTTAAATTTGGTACCGTATTTGTCATGATCAAAATATACAGTGAATGTTTAATTTTTAAAAATACATGATAGTACAGGACACCTTGCCATTACACTCTCTCTTGAAGCAGCACCACACTCCAGACATAGTCCATTGTCCTTGCCACTGTCTGAAGGAGTTTTAGATGTCCTCTTTCATTAAATGACTTTGTAAGGTGTGATCACAGATTCAGCAACTATGCTGCAAAGTG